CGCAAGATTCTGTTTCCTGAAAGAGGAAGCAAGTGATTTACAGGGAAATATTAATGAGACCAGTTCTTTGGCTTAAGGCTTTTGGGTTTTCATATTTAAGAATACATTTTTCAGAGTTTAGTTTTTGTTTTAGTACTGTTAAATGCAAGTGCCTGTATTCAAGTATTCCATCACTTTTTTTTGTATTTCTTTTTCAGGAAAAGTGCAAAATGTTTCAAATTCCTGTTCAAAATCTTGATAATATCAGGAAGGCTCGAAAAAAGGTGAAGGGCATTCTTGTGGATCTTGGGCTTGACAGCTGCAGGGAGTTGTTGAAGGTAAAGCATTTGAAATAACTTAAACCAATCTGAAACATAACCTTGAAAAATATTTCACTTTTTAGCTTATATATGATACTCCTCTGCCATAGATCTTTATGGCGGGGTCTTTACTTGAAGGATTGCTCATGACTGACTCCTCATATGCCAGGGGTAGAGTGTAGTGTTTTCGTACATAACATTGAAAGAAACTCTATTTCTCAGCAAGATGTGTTATAGTGGTGCTGCATATTCTCTGCTAGTAATGTTTCAACAGAAGAACACAGTACAGCTTTAGGAAAAACACTGCAGAATAATGAAATGTTATTTGTGTACTACACGGTGACTATTTTGCGATTCTTTTAAAATCACAAGCAGATGAAGACTTGAGTCTACTCAAAGGCGTCCATCACATATCAAGGGCAAGACCCTGAAGGATATACAAATTGTCAGTATTTCTGAAAACGGACAAGCAGTTAGACCAGTAATCTTGTTGCAGGCTTTTAAACTTTGTGTCCAGGGAAAAATACCAAACTTGTCTTACTGAGTTCTGCATCTTAAAATATATGCAAGTGTATCAGGGTGATCAGGATGAACCTAGTGCCATTGTTGCCGCTTTCAGGAGGGAGTTGTGCAACAAGCAGGAGGGTTTCACACCATCAGACTGGCAAGCCAAATAAAAGAAAAAGTGCGAACACAGTGTCCTGGTTTCAGCTGGGATAGAGTTAATTGTCTTCCCAGTAGCTGGTATAGTGCTACTATATTACAGTATTATATTATACCAATTCCAGAGAGACATGACTCACTGTCCCACGTGCTGGGGCCTGGCCCATGCCTACTGAGGCCTCTTCAACACTATTCAGTACCCTCAAGGGGAAGAGAATGCCTCTGGATCTGATGGAAAAAATGCCAGGCACTATGGCTGCTCCAGCCTGGGTGACAGGCACTGCAGCTGAACCAGAGAACCAACCCATGCCTGTATCAGTTGCCCCTATACACAGGAAGAAATATTGAACCCATGCTGGTATCAGTCAGCCCTATACACAAGAAGAAATACAGAAGAAAATCAGCTCATTTAGTAGGGGATGAAGATGAAGCAGGGCCATCACAAGAACAGGAGGAGGAAGAGGCAGAACCCCTAAACAAGGCGGTAACCACATGATCTCTATCCATGAGTGAGCTGGGAGACATGAGAAAATATTTCAGCTGTCACCCAGGTGAGCACATTGTCACCTGGCTGCTCCAATGCTGGGATAATGGGGCCAGTAGCCTGGAATTGGAGGGTAGGGAAGCCAAGCGCCTGGGATGCAAGCCCTCAGCCTCTGGAGGTGACTCCTGTCAGGCGTGAAGGAAAGGTATTCCTTTGAGGAAGATGATCTATGACACCCAGGCAAGTGGACCGCCATGGAGAGAGGTATCCAGTAGCTGAGGGAATTAGCCCTGCTGGAGGTGATTTATGGTGACCTGGGCAACGATCAGTTACCGAAAGATCCAGATGAAGTCAAGTGCACATGACCCACATGGCAGAATTTTGTATGCAGCATACCATCATCATAAGCCACCTCATTGGCAGTAATGACCTGGAAGGATGGAGAGGGGCAAATGGTGGATGAATTGTCTGGCCAACTCTGGCAATAGAAAGAAAGTCGAAGGCTTTAGCGGATGCTGGTGCTCAGTGTACCCTAATGCCATCAAGCTGTACCCATCTGTATTTCTGGCATGATGAGGGATCCCAACAGCTGGGTGTATTGGAGGCCGAATTGAGCCTAAGCAGGAAGGACTGGCAAAAGCACCCCACTGTGACTGGCCCAGAGGCTCTGTGCATCCTTGGCACAGACTGCCTCAGGAGAGGGTATTTCAAGGAGCCAAAAGGGTGTACTGGTGGGCTTTTGGCAGAGCTGCCTTGGAGACAGAGGAAATGAAACAGCTGTCTGCTTTTCCAGGTCTCTCAGAGGACCCCTCTGTTGTGGGGTTGCTGAGGGTTGAAGAGCAACAGGTGCCAATTGCTACTACAGCGGCGCACCAGTGGCAATATTGCACCAGCTGCAGGTCCCTGATGCCTGTCCATAGACTCATTCATCAACTGGAGAGCCGAGGAGTGATCAGCAAGACTCACTCACCCTTTCGCAGTCTCATATGGCCAGTGTGGAGGTCTGATGGCGAGTGTAGACTAACAGTGGACTGCTGCAGCCTGAAGGAAGTCCTGCCACCACTGAGTGCTGCCATGCCAGACATGCTAGAAGTTCAGTACGAACTGGAGTCAAAGGCAGCCAAGTGGTATGCCACAAGTGATATCACTAACGCGTTTTTCTCAGTCCCTTTGGTGGCAGAGTGCAGGGCACAGTCTACTTTCACTTGGAGGGGTGTCCAGTATGCCTGGAATTGACGTCCCCAGGGGTGGGAACACAGCCAAACCATTACCCATGGATTGATCCAGACTGCGTTGGAACAGGGTGAGACTTCTGAGAAAGGGAAGAAAATAGTCGAAATCCTTCTGAAGGTCGGTTTTGCCATAGAACAAAGTAAGGTCAAAGGGACTTGCGCAGGAGATCCAGTTTTTAGGAATGGCAAGGTGGATGTTGTCAGATCCCAATGGATGTGATCAACAAAAGAACAGCTATGTCTTCACCGACTCGCAGAAAGGAAACACAACCTTTCTTGGGTGTTGTGGGGTTTTGGAGAATGCATATTCCAAATTACCGTCTGATCATAAGCCCTCTCTACCAAGTGACCCAGAAGAAGAATGATTTCAAACATGGCCCTGAGCAACAGCAAGCCTTTGAACAAATTAAACAGGGGATAGTTCATGCAGTAACCTTGGGCCAGTCTGGGCAGGACAAGATGTAAAAAACGTGCTTTACACCGCAGCCAGGGAGAATGGCCCTACCTGGAGCCTCTGACAGAAAGCACCAGTGGAGACTTGAGGACTGGCCAGAAGGCAAAGATTTCAGAATATCACCAGAGGAGGACATGACACATGCTGAAGAGACCCCACTGTATAATAAACTGCCAGAAAATGAGAAGCAACATGCCCTGTTCACTGATGGGTGCTGTTGTCTTGTGGGAAAGCATTGGAGGTGGAAGGCTGCTGTACGGAGTCCTCCTGTGCAACAAGCTGCAGAAACTGCTGCACAGAGAAGGTGAGTTGAGTTAGTTTGCAGAGGTGAAGGCCATCCAGCTGGCTTTAGGTATAGCTGAATGAGAAAAGTGGCCAGTGCTCTATCTCTGTACTGACTCATAGATGGTAGCAAATGCCTTGTGGGGGTGGTTACAGCAATGGAAGCAGAGGAACTGGCAGCGCAGAGGCAAACCCACCAGGGCTGCCGTGTTGTGGCAAGATAGTCCTATGGCAGCATGGCACCCCAGAAAGAACCAAGTCAGGCAATGGGACTCCTTTCCAAAACAACATCATAGACACCTCGGCAGAGAGCATTGAGTGCGTACATCACATCCCCCATCGTGCACCAGCCTCTGGGAAAATCAAACGATACAATGGACTGTTAAAGACTACACTGAGAACAACGGGTGCTGGGACATTCAAACACTGGGATACATCTTTAGCAAAAGTCACCTGGTCAGTCAACACTAGGGTATCTTCCAGTCAAGCTGGCCCTGCCCAATCCAAACTTTTACATACCGTCAAAGTGGATAAAGTCCCTGTAGTGCACTTAAAAAAATACGTTGGGGAAGACAGTCTGGCTTATACCTGCCTTGGGCAATTGCAGACTTATCTGTGGGATTGCTTTTGCTCAAGGACCTGGGTGTTTGGTGGGTAACATGGAACGATGGGGGAAGTCTGATGTGTGCCTCACCCATTGGGTGATTGGTTCTGGGTGAGAACAGCCAATGATTTGAATTGTGTGATGTTAGTTGCTATATAATACTGTATGTTGTATCAATGGTATTACAATATGAATCACCCAAATTAATGAAGAATGAGTTTTGACAAAACCGAGCAAAGTGCAGTGATGACAGAACCAGACAGGCACATCGGTGATGGCACCAGAACTGGCTTCAGCAGGCAACAATCCAACATCATGCACCACCTCTCCTGCCCTGAAGGAATGTTATGACAGATGGAGCCCAAAGTTATGGACTAAATTAACTCAATGGTTGTTTTAGAGGCATGGCCCATAGACTTAGGGAATGATAGCTGTGTGTATGTATCAAAAGACAGAAAAAGTGGTGGTGGTTAGTTGGGATGTATTGGCAAGTGTGGGATCTGGGCATGATGTAGATGGTATAGAATAAGGTGTGGATATTGTCCTGGTTTCACCTGGGATAGAGATTTTTTTTCTTCCTAGTAGCTGGCATAGTGCTGTGTTTTGGATTTAGGATGAGGAAAATGTTGATAACACCTTGCTGTTTTAGTTGTTGCTGAGCACTGCTCAGCAACAAGTCAAGGCCTTTTCCTACTTCTCACACCGTCCCACCGTCCCGTCTTCCTGAAAATGAGACACTTCTCTCCAGGGTGGAATTTCAAACCTTGGGCTGACTAGGCTTCTACACAAAACACAGAAAGAACTGGACTCCTCAAAAGGGGAACCAGATATGATCAGTGTCCATGAGCAGGGAAGCCTGTACAGCTATCCAATAAACCGTGTTCTGATTTACAGAAAGCTGTCCTGTCAGTAGACAGAAACACTGTGTGGTCCCTCTTACACACTATGAAATGTCACAATATTTCTCAGCCACCCACATTCCCGTCACCACCTTTGTGTCTTGGCTTCAACACAAACCAGAAATGTACTGTGTGCATTAATTCTAGATGTGGTTGTAAAAGGCATGGTTGCAGATAATACAGGCTTCGTATTAAACAGCTTTGTCCAGGAGTTTAATAATGCTGAAGAAATTCTGTTCCATGGTGGACTAACAAACTGCTTAGGAGAGAGCCAGACATCTGGTCAGTTATTAGCAAATTCAAGTTTGTGGTTTGTTAGGTGCTTCCACAGTGGGACCAGACAGTCCCTCATTTAGGACAAAGCTTAAAAATCCTTTTTATTTAATGGAAGGATTAGAAAATTCAGGGAATGGGTGGGAGTTACAGTGCTCAGTTCTTCTGCAATGGCAATCCATGTAACTGTGATACATGATCACCGATGGGCTTCTCCCAGGCATTCAGACAGTGAAAGGATGTTCTTCTACTTAGCTGCATGAGGAGCTGGAAGGGAAGAGTGCTCTGTGGAGGAACGATCAGCTAGGGGTACCAGGTGTTTCCTGACTGCAGCTGACTGTTGTGGCAAATAAGTAAATTTTGAGGGGCTGCTTATTATTTGTGATGGAGTTGAATCATTGGACTAAGTATCAGAAATTCTTCAGAATGAAGGATGCCAGATCTGTGAATAGAAAACCATGTTTTCAGGTTACTTGGGCTTCTACCACAATTAGTTCAATATCCATGATTCCATTATGGATCTAAAATCTTTCATACGTTGTCAGCTGGGTATGAAGCCAGGAAGCTGTCTATAGCTATCAGTTGTGTTGTTTTTTCCATATCTGTCTCTGTTAGCATGAGCCAGTTCAGAGATGAGTCCAGTGCAGACTTGTGTCTGGTCAGGCACCCATTGGGATGGTCTAATCAGCTCTAAGCCTGCACAGAAATAAACAGCTGTGCTAGCACCTTTCACCAATAATGAGGCAATGCTATTCTAACCAGCCAGGCAGTTAAGACTGTTTTTTCATCAACATATAAAAAAAATATAGCCATAACCAGTTAGGAGTGGAGAGGGCATGTCCATGGGTTCTCCTGAACTTAAGTTACTTGTATTGACAATCCTCTGAGTCACCCAGGCATGCCAGTTCAGCATGCCTCAGTTACACATTTATTGCTCTGCTTTAAAACTACTGAACTGAGGCCAGTGGAGAGCATAAGCAGTGTTATTTGCAGCTCATCAGAGAGAACTGACACTTCCAGTAAAAAAATATAACAATAGACAGATAGAGCAATAAAAGTAATTAATTTTAAGAGTAAGACACTTAACCTGCTAATCCAGCAGATTACTGCAATTCTCACTTTCAGATGACCAGCCACCATACTCAGAATATAACTATCTGGAGCAGGATAATGGTCTTGGGAAGTTACACTGTGTTGAATTTTTTTTTAATGGAAGACTGGCTTAAGGCTTTTGGGTTTTCATATTTAAAGCCTTCTTTCCATTAGGAGGAGGGCAAGTGTGGGACCTGGGCATGATGTAGATGGTATAGAATAAGGTGTGGATATTGTCCTGGTTTCACCTGGGATAGAGATTTTTTTTCTTCCTAGTAGCTGGCATAGTGCTGTGTTTTGGATTTAGGATGAGGAAAATGTTGATAACACCTTGCTGTTTTAGTTGTTGCTGAGCACTGCTCAGCAACAAGTCAAGGCCTTTTCCTACTTCTCACACCGTCCCACC